GACGCCAGAAGAGAAAATGGTGTGCATTGAAAGTTTGTTGCTCGTGCAATTTGGCAGCCACAGAATTGCTATATTGGCTTATGAGATTTCTAACTACGTATGCTTATAATTAAGGTACTTAAGGTAATACAAAACAAATACAGAGTACTGAGTAAGATGATGTTTGGGGTAGCATAGAGCTGTGGATCTCACTGTGATTGGAATTGAGATTTGAATACATTCCTAATCAACATTTTGCATCCTTGACTTAAAGTTGCCTAGAGCAAGGTTTTGTAGGGCCATAATTGAGCTGCAGATTGCAGGCTTACTTCGGGCACCCGGCAAAAGGCGCCCTGATTATGTTCTAAGGGTAGCATTCGGATTGTAACCTTGTGTTTAGGTATTACGTTGTTTAAATGCTTATTTATTTCTGAAAACCGAACCAGTGGTTCTCATTGTGACAGTATAATCCACTACAACTACTGAATTTTGGTGTTGAATTCTGTTACGGAGTATTTATTTATTTATTTGCATAAGATGAATTGCAAAAGAACCTATGATAATTATAGCTTTGAAATTTAATCTCGTTATTTCTTTGATGTAAGAAGGCTGTTTCTTGAAAGGCGTCTGAATAAAAACATTGACACTGCTGCTTTTTGCACAAAGCTGTGGTGTCCAATAAATTACGGAGTACATATTACTAAACCCCATCCATCATAGTTGGGGTTAGGGTGATGATGATGAATTTACAAAGCAACTTCTGATTACCTTCCTCTGATAATTTGGTTTATTTACACCGAACTCCCTTACGGAGTTAAGTGTTGGATTAAACATATCTATGTTTGCTGTTTTAAATATTTGTTTATTACGGAGTACTTTATTTACTCTTTTATTGATGGATACAGGCCGGACGTCCGAGAATTACTCCGTAATAGACACTTGTGTCTATTGTCCAGACCTTGGAAGGTTGGTGGACTGAGGTCAATAGAATCTCTCTTTACCGTAAAACTTCGAATACCTATACCATATCTCCTGTTGTACATAAACAAACATTAAAACTCATTTTTGAACAACAAAATATTTATTTTTAAGTAACTGAATACGTAGTACATATTTTCGTACATAATTCAATTTTAGAAAAAGAAATCATACCAAACAGAAGTAAAATATACTCTCTCCGTCCAAATTTAATCTTCGCACTTTCTTTTTTGGTCTGTCCACAAATAATCTTCTTATTTTCTTATTTGATACTCCCTCCGTCCCATTTTATAACGCCTGTTTTGGTTTACGATGTTTGACTGAAATGATTTTCAAATCATTTTATATGACAAATGGTATATAGTCAAAAAAAATTACATATTAAAATACTACATCAAAAGATCTACAAAACTAGTAGTGACAATAGTACTGTATTTTATCAAAATGCTAACGAAAATAGAGAAGAAAAGTGAATGAAGTTTGACCATGTGAATAGTGAACATACATTATAATTTGAGACGGAGGGAGTAAATTTTTATATGTAAAATGTCTTTAATACCCTTAAAAGTTATAAATCATCCATTTTATGTTCAAATACTTGAGAAAAGGAGAAAGAATCATCAAGGGATCACGATTCGGGCTTAAACGAGCTTCTGGGAGGTCAAAATCAGTGTTCGGGAGCAAAATGGATCAATTCGGGACAAAACTAGGCCCAAAGTCGCGAAGGATTGCGAAGGAGGCGAAAAGCTCTGGATTCGGGTCCTGGGCGTCCAAAGTTGGTGAGCAGCGATCAGCGATTGGTCCGAACACGTAATATGAGTACGGGCGTCCAAAGTTGGATGCCTAGAAGAGCTAGACGCCCAAGAAACCAGGGATGACACGTTTTTGCCACACGTCGCGATGCTAATGGACGGAACACGTAATTCGGGTACGGGCGGCCAAAGTTGGACGGCCAGAGGGTTGGACGCCCGCGGTTCTGGTCCTATAAAAATGATATGATTTTGGTCCATTTCATACACCATTCACGCCCTTTCAAAACCCAATTTCGGGTTTCACTCTCCTAATACTTTGTATATTAGTTTTAGTAGTAGTTTTAAAGTAATTTTGGAGGTTTTGACTCTAGATCTGTTCTGTTTTGCTTAATTGGAGTACCGTAAGTTTTCTTATTTAATAAAATGATGTTTTAATTTATGTTTGCATAGTATGAGTTAGGGTTCGGACCCCTAGGTCCGGACTAGTTTGGTTGTATACTTTGAATGTTAAAGAAATGTTGGAATGATTAGTCTATTGTTCTTGCTATATTTAGTTAATTAATATTGAAAGATTAATTAGCTATTTATTGAGGAAATATTATATGTCGAAAGGCTATCATATTCAGGGAAACAGATTAAGTACAAAACCTAGAAATAGGTAAGTAATAATAGAAACAGTTTTATTCCAATTATTAATTAAATATGATAAAGTAGATTCAAATGATGTTCTGACCCAAGGTCCAGATATGAACTTATACTATGTGAAATTTAATTATTATTATTTTTGCTCTGCTTCTATTATTCGTATCGAGAAGACTTTCATGAAACTGTCAAAGCCTTCGCCTAATTAGAAAAGTTAACTAATTCCCTTCGTCCACTCCTCGAGAGACACGACACTCAGAGAGAAGACTAACCCTTTACTACCTGAAAAACTACAAACTATCAGTTGTTTTCCACTATTGCAATAGAATTGGACATATAGCACTGGTAGGCTTCATTAGGCATAAGCATATCACGCAAAATCAATCACACTACTCTTATGTGCCTAACACTCAAGGACCCAAAAGGGTTTGGGTACCTAAATCTCTTTGATTTGGTATGTAGGTGTGCTTGAAGACATCAAGTGTACTTTGGTACCTTGATAGCGGATGCTCCAAACACATGATCTGAGATGCATCCAAGATTTTGCAAATAAGACCCACCAAAGGAGGAAATGCCATTTTTTGTGACAATAACAAATGAAAGATAATTGGCATTGGTTCAGTTGGTAAAAATGAACCTCCTTTATTGATAATGTTTTATTTGTTAAGGTTCATAAGTACAATCTCTTAAGCATAAGTCAATTGTGTGACAAGGGAAATCGTGTGACCTTTGATTCAAAATCATGCATAGTGGAATGCCTTAGTGACAATAAGGTTATTCTACACGGTGATAGAATCGATAACATGTTAGACAAATTTGCAACTCTAGGGGGGGGGGTGAATAGAGTTGTTTTCAAAAATGTGCGTTTTTCGCGTGTGTGAAATAATAAAATCGCAGGAATAAATAAAGAGAGTAAGGGAAAGAAGAACACCGAGATTTATACTGGTTCACCATCTCGTGGCTAGTCCAGTCCTCCGAGAGACTCTCTCGAAAATCCTACTAATCTTCAAGCTTCAACGGGTGCTTGAAAAACCGGTACAACTTGATAACTTGAATCACACAAGCCTCACTTTCTTACAACAACAAGACTTGAGTCACACAAGTCTTAAGAACAACACTCAAATGAGATTGAGTTTACAACACAAGAATGAAAGCTCACACAATTGAGCAAAGTAGTGTTGAAGAATTAAAGCTCTATTGATGACAACTTCTTTAGCACTCGAAGAAAATATTTCTAACTCTCAAAAATAATATTTTGATGAGGAAGATGAAGCAAAGGATGAATATAGCTCAAAGAATATATTGGAGTGCAAGATATGTGTGTAGAAATGAAGGAGAATGAGGGATTAAATAGGCTGAGGAAAATAAAGCCGTTGAAGCAAGCCAGAACATGCACCAGATAAAAATAATCGATTAAAGTGAAACTATTAATCGATTAAGGTACACAGAGGCGAAAATGCCTGAAATTTGGTAAGGAATTAATCGATTAAACTGAAGAAAATAATCGATTAGGTGAATCTGTGCTAACAAATCGATTAAATGAAGAAAATTAATCGATTATTGGGCGATCCTGGGAATCCAACTAGAAGTCTATTAATCGATTAAAAAGGAAGAGAAAATCGATTAATTTCAAAATACCGTGGAAACATAAAGGGCCCAAGCCTATTTGCGATTGAAGCCTTTGGCTTCATACGATTGTTTGAGACAACGAGAATCAATGCACGCTCATTGATAAACCTTATTCAATGAATTTGAATAGGGGAGAAAAAGAGTCAAAAAATTATTTTGTATGTCAAACGATGTACAGAAAAATATTTAAAGTATATTTTTCTTACCAAAAACAATTGTGTAATCTTTAAAAATATTTTTAAGAAATTTTGACACACTTATTTTGAAACTGACTCAGTAAAATATTTTTGGACAGTGAAAAAATAATTTTTCAACTGACTCAAGAAATAATAATTTTTATCCCTCAGAAACTAATTTTGTTTATGCAAAAATTATTGTCATCCTTACAGGAAACCTAGACTCAATAAAAAATAAAAAAGTCTTCGGAGTCTTCACTTCACTTGAAAAAAAATCTGCGTAGGGGTGTTCGTCGATTTTTATCGTCGTAAACTTCTTGATACCCTTCTTTGCTTTTCTCGATACGAAAATAAATTTTCGATCAGCTTGAAATTAATCATCCTGTTTGTCATTCATCAAAACAAAAAAATATTCCACAAGAAATAGTAAAGGGGTTTGAGCTCATGTCCAATAATTTCCCCCTTTTTGATAATGACAAACATAGTTGAGAAAGAGCAAAGTAAGAGTTCAAAAATTACTTCCTTTTAAGAATAATTCCCCCTGCAAGGTTAGAGAAGTGCAGTAAAAATAATCGGAGTAATAAGCGGAAAAACGATTTTAAAAAAAATTTCTCAACTATCCTTCATTCCACCTTTTGGAATTATCAACCGATAACCTTCCCCCTTAAACAATGCCTGGATATTGAAGGAAAGTAAAAAAAATGGCAAGAGTTTTCTTTAAAAGAGAACTCTTAGTAAAAATGCCACAAAGGGACAATATATTCTAAACAAGAACAATATTGCCAATCCAACAATGATATCAATACACAATTATAATTAATTTTAACTAGCATCATTGAAAGGAACATCATCATCCACCAAAAGAGTCATAAAACAATAACATTAGAAAATAACAATGTATCATAATAAGTCAAGATAGAAGGAATATAATCAAAGTGAGTTCGCCGGACAAGCTCCTCCGCTAAAGCTGTGACGCGGGCCACGGTAGGAGCGGGATTGCTCAAAACGAGTCATCCTCTTGTTGAGCTGGCGAACGTCATCTCGGATGCACGTGAGAGTATCGAAGAACCTCTTCACCCAAGAAGGTTCCGGTGCTTCTTCTCTTGGACGAGTCCTGCGTTGACGAGTGACGCGCTCCGTGGCTCGACTTCCTCCGGCTCGAGATGACTCAGCTTGAGTCTCGTTTTGGCTCTCTTCTTCTTCTGCGACTATCAGGTCCAGATTTAGTGCAGCATCGCCCTCCTCTCGGTACACGATCCGGGAAAACTTTGCTTCAGTGATGAAACAAGTCTTCTTGACCGGCACATGAGTGTCCCGAGTAAAGTCTATTTTGCAATGAGCAAGGATATGCATAATGGGGATGGCAAAACGGAGATGGGAGAAACGAGTGCCATCGCTAAGTGCAACGATAAAGAAGTGAACCCAATCAAATTTGACATCGTTCAACAGGACGTGAAACAAACGAATATCGTCCTTGTTGACAACGCCATGGTTCGAATCACGGGGCAACAAAACATAGGAGAAGATGTATTGTTGGACGCGTTGAATTAAAGTGAGATTAATGACACTCGGGTTGCTAGAATTTCTAAACTTGAGGTCACGATGATCTAACCCGAGTTGTCGCCAAATTGCCTCATCTTGGAATGTTTCATCCAAGTTTTCGGTAATTTCACCTCGACGAAGGCCAAACAGAGAAGTCAAACCGGCACCGTCAATGAAAACGGTTTTGCCGTCAACATAGGAAATGAGAGATGGCGAGTCTCCCTTAGTGGTACGAAGATTTGCATAAAATTGACGTATAAGATTTGGACA